GTTAAAAAAGCATTCATCACAATCTATTTATTTACTTTTTCTCTAACACTCTTTTTCATAAAAACCTACATCTGAATATCTTAATTTATTAGAAACCATAAACTGTGCAAGATCTCCTACAACTTTTGAACTTGGTGTGACCTTGACTATATCACCACATAATTTATTAGCTTCTGTATATGCAATTTTAATTTCTTTCCACAATTGTCCAAGTCCGAGTTGTGATGCTTGAAACATCAAATTTGTATATTGTCCACCTGGCATTTCATGCTCGTAAACTGAAGAATCTGCTGATAATACTCCTGCATCAAAACAACTATATAGTTTACGTGCTTGTTCCCAATATTCATTCAATGCATGCACATCTTCTAATCTAATCCCTGTACCAAGGTTTGTATTTTCAAGTGCTGACACTACAGCTCCCATTGATGGTTGTGATGTAACTCCTGACATGCCTGTTAATTGAGGACAAAAAGGCAAAAAAGCACTATTATTAAAATAATTTTTTTTTTTTAAAAAACATTACACTAAATAAACCTACTATCAATGGCCAAATCAATAACATCAGCACCAGCAGCTGCAGCAGCTAACATGCTAGCAACGCCAGTTCCAGCAGTATCATGAGTATGGACATGAATAGGAAGATTAGGCCATTTATTTCTTATGGCTCCAACTAATATTTTGGCCGCCTCAGGTTTCAACAATCCAGCCATATCTTTTATAGCAAGTATATGTATTCCTTCTTTGACCAACTGTTCTGTAAAATCAAGATAATAATTCAAATCATATTTGGTTTTATTGGGGTTAGCAACATCTCCTGTATAACAAATCGCTGCTTCTACAACTCCACCGGCTTTCTTGACAGCATCTATGCCAAGTCGCATATTCTCAATGTAATTCAACGAATCAAAAATACGAAATATATCCATTCCGTAGTCTTTTGCCTTTTGACAAAATTCATAAATTATATTGTCTGGGTATGATGTGTAGCCTACTGCATTGGCACCACGCAATAACATTTGGAATGGAATATTTGGAACAATTTCACGTAATTTTGCCTGTTATTTTAGAGTAAAAAATTAATAAAAAAGTATAATTAGTTGATAAAATATAAAATAATAATTTTTTTCATATTGCAAAGCAAAAAAAAAAAAATTACTAAACGATCCCAAGGATCTTCATATAAGAATCGCATGGCAACATCAAATGTTGCTCCGCCCCACATTTCAAGCGAGTAGGCATTAGCAAGTGCATGTGCAGTATGAGGTGCTACACTCAAAAGATCTTTTTTTTTTAAATAAACATTAATGTTAATATATAAATCATCAAAATTACACAATATATCAATAATATATATATATATATATATATATATATATACCAATAGTTCTGACTCTGGTAGCCAATAAACTTTGATGAGCATCTCTCCATGTTGTATCCATAATCAAAACACCCTGATAATCACGAACAGCCTTAGCAAATGCTTCGGGACCTTGTTCTAATAATATGTGCCTCCATCCATAATCTGGTGAATGGTTCACATCAATTGGTTCTGGTCCTGCCAATGATCGAATTGATGGTAGAATAAGTGGTTTCTTATAGGCTGGTTCACCCTATATGTGTGTGTGCGTATATTAGCAATTGTCACAAATAAAAATAACAAAAAATTTTATAATTTGCTAACCATTTGTCCTTTAATACTACTTCCATTAACAATCACATCACCTAAATATTTTAATATTTTTTGGGCTCTATTCTTACTGCCGACTAATTTAAAAAGATCAGGTGTAGCATCGATAAAGGTTGTCCATGTTTTTCCCTCCATGAATACGGGATGAGTTAATAGTCGTTGCAAGAAAGGAATATTTGTTTTGACACCTCTGATTCTAAACTCAACCAAAGCTCGTAATATCTTACGCCTAGCAATTTCATAAGTTTTCCCCCAACACGTACACTTGACTAACAACGAATCATAATGAGGTGTAATCACTGCACCTGCATACCCGGCACCACCATCCAATCTAACACCATTACCACCAGATGATCGATACACCTCTATCCTACCAGTATCTGGTTGAAAATTCACTGATGGGTCTTCAGTGGTAACACGACACTGGATTGCAAATCCTCTGGTTTGAATTCTGTTTTGAATCAGTGATAGATGAGAAAGTAAAGCACCTCCAGCTATTTGAATTTGTGCTGCTACAATATCTATACCAGTAATCTCCTCTAAATATTCATTCATTCATCCGTAAAAAGTAAATATATTAATTAATTGATGAATATTTTGATATTAGCATAAAATACAATGAAAAGATACTATTTAACTAACTATTTATTTATTCAACTTGTTGTCATTGTCTTTTTTCTGTCTATTCATTTACCTGTTATTGTATGTTCAACTTGAATTCTTGGATTAATTTCAATAAAATAATGTCTATTTTGTTGATCAACCAAAAATTCGACTGTACCAGCATTGCGATAATTTACAGATTTGGCAAGTTTAATAGCATCAGCAAGAATTTTTTCACGAAGATTTGACTATATAAAAAAATTTTTAAAAAATAAATTTATACACTCCCTCACCTCCTCACTTATTCATTCATTCTCAATCATTAAAGAATACTTACATCTAAATTCAATGCAGGAGCAACTTCGACTACTTTCTGATGACGTCTTTGGACCGAACAATCCCGTTCAAACAAATGTACAACATTACCAGCAGAATCAGCTAGTATTTGAACTTCAATGTGTCTTGGTTTATCCAAGAATCTTTCCAAAAACACTGTCCCATCACCAAAAGCAGCCAAAGCTTCTGATTTAGCTCTTCCAAACGATTCTACCAATGTCTCACTGCTATTTACAACTCTCATACCACGACCTCCACCACCCATTGCTGCTTTAACAATTATTGGAAATCCATATTCAGCTATAAAATTTTCTGCTTCTTCAATTGTAGAAATTGGTCCCGGAGTACCAGGAACAACTGGAACACCACACTGTATAGCTAATCATATTTCAAATAATAATACAAATCAATTTATATATGATATATGATGATTAATTAATAAATTAAAATTTTATATTCATTCAATTATAAATACACGTGTGCTGAAAAAAAATTCAAACCTAAATTTCTTGCTTTTGTTTTATCGCCCATTTTTTCAATAACATCAGGTGTAGGTCCAATAAAAGCTATTCCAGCCTCTTCAACTTTCTTAGCAAAACTAGAATTTTCAGCTAAAAATCCATAACCAGGATGAATCATTGAGACATTACGAAGTTTAGCTATTTTAATTATTTCATCTTGAGCAAGATATGCACCAACTGCTGAATAAACATTCGGATCACCAATCTGGTATGCTTCATCGGCTTTATTTCGATGCATTGATAATCTATCTTCATGACTAAAAATTGCAACCGTTCTCATGGAAAGTTCATGGGCTGTGCGAAAAACTCTAATGGCTATTTCCTATAAAAATTAAACAAAATGAAGAATAATGGATTTTATGATGATGGGCGGGAAAGAAAATAAATATATTGTGTGTTTTATTTAAATAGATAGAAAAATAAATAAGTATATATATTATATAATTACACCACGATTGACCACCATGATCTTTGGAAGATGTCCCAAGACCTGACTATCACGCCGAATACTTTCCACTGAATGTTCATTCATTTTTAAATTTAATTTTGAATTATTCTTTTTTTTTTTCCAAAGGAAAATTATAAATTATAAAATATATTTTTTTTACATAAATAAATAATGGAAGTTTCTTTATATCTATGATGAGATAGATCAAATTATTAAATTATTATTATTTTTTTACCGTTTTTGGTAATAATTTTTTATCAAACCAAATAATGATAACAGATAAAACCCACCAACCAGATAATAATAAAACCCAATCTATAAAAAGGGTTTCACCGATTTTTTTAATAGTAAATAGTAATAGATTTAATCGTGTGGTACAGATGACATACATAAACAATTATTATTCCGCAAATAGTTTCTTTCTTTTTAAAGAATTTGCTTTTTTTGCTATCCATCGGATAAAGTTTATTGAGTCACGGGTCTTTCTTTAAAAATGGGTTATAATCTTCATATAAATTATACACGTAAAAAGCTTGGATTTATTGTAATCAACACCAAGATAAAATCAACGATAAATTTACTCGGAATCTAATTAGATATTAATGTTGAAAAGCAACTTTGAATTGATCGAAATCTGCAACGTCTAATGGCAGTACAAAACTCGCTACCTTGTGAAAGAGTGATAGCTCTGGGATGAATGTGCATAACATCAATAGACTTTGTAATTTGTTTGCTGTCGTGACTTGTTAGAGTACAAGTTTTATCTCTCAATGTTCTCCTTTAAACGAATAGAAGTCCAAAATTATATTTTTATTCTCTACAGAAAATTAAAAATATTAATGTAAATAATTGCTCACATTTGGATTTACTTGATGCAGAAGTTTGACCATTAATATCTAACTAACTTAGATGCTAGTAATATTAGTCATACATGAGGAATTACATATAGCAATGGTATTAACTCAAAATTTTCACAATATGGTCCGTTTCTATTGAAAAGCCCCCATATTGGCAAATAAATATATATAATAAGTTCTATATATTTTCACATTTTTATTTATTTATTTTAGGATTCACACAATACATGTAAACTAACAATTCTTAAAGGTGTAAATGGTGGATACATGCTTCGTGATATATCAAAGTCTTACTGTTCATGTTGAATAAAGTTGGTCGCCGAATAAAATCCAAAATATTTCGAATTTTAGAATAGAAATCCGAATGTTTGCCGAAATCCGGAACGTTTGTTGAGGTCCTAATACTAATACTAAATGTTTGCCGAAATCCTAAATTTCTGTAGGAACATATAAATTTGCCAAATTTGATAGATAAATTTGATAAATCCAGAAAAATATTTAAAATTTATTTAATTAGACATAATTATATTCAAATAAAAAGTAAATTTGGGTTGAAATAAAAATAAAAGCTTATTTATTATTCACAAACATTTGCTAAATGTGATTTGTAAACTATGGACATAAATAAATACGTTTCCATTTTTGTTCGCAGAATTTTCATTCACCAGAAAAATGACCAGGTGATTTATTCAAAGGTAATCGAATAAAATAATCCAAACATTATTTAATTTATAACCAGGCCTTTTGTAGTTGTAGTATTATTTCATGCAACGAACGAATACAAATTTTCAATTAATAATGTGTTAAATTTTTGATTAGCTGATTTAATATCACACAAAAATACAAATTTTGATTGGCCAATTTAATTTCGGATTTTGTAAAGTACTTGCCGAGATATTTCGGATTTGCCGCCAACTTTAATGCCGAATTACAAATAAATAAAAATCATTTATCATGCTATTATATACAACAAAAGGAGGTGCTTCGGCTGTTCCATTGGTTCCCTTACTTCCTGAACATTGTATAATTGGAAAGTGTGGTGGTTTATATATTTATCTAGAAATTCAAAGTAATAATGATGAATATCATGGAAATATGAAGTTGACACAATCAGGTTATGATTACAACTGATGCCTTTGGTATGGGTAAAAAATTCGCCTAGCAATACAATATACATTTCCATTGAGTATAGATAGATAAAGAAACTATTGCTTTAAAAATCAAACAGAATGATACAGTATAACTTACCTTTTTGTGATAGGCAATCTTGCGCAAAAAAAAAAATAGGAATCCTGCAAAATCTGTGATATTTTATCTTGACATAATATTGGCACTAATTATAGCACAAAGAGTATTTTGATAAAATTAAAGCTAATAATAATACAATACATTTTTGTAGAGTAACTGAGGAAATGAGCAGAGGTTCTGAAATAGATAAAAGACAAACCTATCTGGTTTAAAAATATTTAAAGTTGTTCATTTTTGTGAGTAGCAATATACTTGTAAGGAACATATGCTGGTGAAATATTTTGCATGGAATGATGATAATCCAAGTCCTCTCTGTGTAGAAGTTGTGGAAATTGTTTATGAGCACAGTTTAATTTGATGTCAGATGTGCTCAAAATGGTAGAGGTAATTGAGGAAGTGGTAAGTTTAATGAAAATGCTAAAATAACATCGCCAAAGAATATTATACAGGTTTATTGTCAATTGAAATGTGACATGAAGAACCCACCTTGTTGAGTATTTATGTGATAAAACATTTAAACAAGAGAGATGATTAAAACTGAAGCATTACATTTGCTTGATTGACTTATAATATGTAAAATAGTACATGATAAACCTTCATATACTTGGTGTCATCGAAGGTTCTATTGCAGTTATAATACAAGAAAATTGGAAAACATCATTTTGTTCTCAATATAAATCTTTTTTATGTCATTGATACCTCTACAAATTATACAAATATAATAGATAAAAATGAGAAAATTAGAGCAGTAACTAATGAATTCAATTGATCAGTTATTTATTTACAGTGAAATTATGTGTAAAAATAAAATTTGCAATTATTTGTAGCAGTCATAATAATAACTATTTGTGACAGAAACAGCCCACATGATTTGTATATCAACATCTATCACAGACCAAGACCAAGAAGATACCCCATGCATCTAAAGATTCACATGGCGCCAACAAATAATTTCAAAGAATACAAAACTAACCTTAAAAGGTATCCCAAAAAGTTTTTATGCTTTTCTGAATTCTCTTCATATAAATTTTTTACAGCTGAGATTGCATTAAAAATTAATTGTCTCAAGTCCTCCTTAATGAATAATGGGTTCTCCTCTATTACTTTATAAACAATAGATACTGCAGTGATATGTTCTACAAAGAAAATCAAAAACCTTTTCAAATAATGGTATCAATAGTCATTTTTATGAAAACTGATCTCATACATATACCTAATAATATAGTAATTAAGCATTTTAGCCAAAATTGTCTCTCTTAATTATACATGGGATGGTAATTACCTAATTACCGTAAATACGTAATTCGTAATTAACGTAATTAATTACCACTTTCACTCTTTAAAACGTAATTATGTAATTAATTACGGGCGACGAATTAATTACTATTGTGAAAATTTTCTATGAAAACCGTTGTTAGCACTACACTGGTTAACCATGTCAAAAACTTTTGCTTTATACCAAAGCAATAAACAAAACCTCAGTTCTATCCAACAACCAAATGGAAAATTAAACAACTGTTTAATTTCTGACTACAAAAGTGGTTTTATTATACATGGGATGGTAATTGACTAATCACCGTAAGTACGCAATACGTAATTATCGTAATCAATTACTATTTTCCTCTTTAAAAAAGTAATTACGAAATTAATTACCGTATTACGGGCGACGAAATTAATTACGAATAACAACGAATTAATTATTGGAAATATCATAATACAAGCCACTCCCGTTATAACAACGCTCTCCGTACAAGCAAAAAATGTCAGTATGACGAGAATGTCATTATAACGGGAAGTCACATGAGAATCATTATCATGTGATTTTATAATTTTATTTTTATTATATATCATTTTTATTTCATTCATTCTTCTATCAGGAAATTCAAAACTTACGCTGGGTCAAAATTGACCAGCATTATACGGAAATGTTACCAGAAATTTCCACGATGCTGGTCAATTTTGATCCTGGTGTAAGTTTTAATTTCCTTATGTTTTTTAGAAATGATCAGAATGATTTTGACTGGTTCTCCCACATGTCGTTATAACAGAATAAATTCTATAATTCTAAAAAAAAAGTTGACAAATTATGTCATTATACTAGTATAACGGATAAATAATAGGTATCATTTAATTTCGTCATGCGTAATTGATTTTTCGTCACGCGTAATAGTAATTAATTTCGTAATTACGTATTACGTTTTTGGCAAATCCATGTAGATCATCACTGAATTTGAAATGGCGAAATAGTTTTCATAGTTGCCCAAAGTTAGCTTTATCAGTTCCAAATTATATCTGAAATTATTTGAACATTTTAACTCAATAGCCAAAATTCTGGGTAGTTTTTTTATGTCTATTGATATAAAAAATATTGTAAATCCGAAATTGCTTACCGAAATTGCTGTTTTCCAAAACCATTTTGACTAACATCCTTGGTATTATTATTACTTGAACAATACACTTATACAATTGGCTTGGGCTATTATAAAGAGAATCTGCTATAGATTGTAATAATTTATATATGGAAAATTTTCAATTTGAATTTTAAAGTGATTTGATTCAATACAATATTTTACAGCCAAAATTTCATTAATATTTGCAACAGTATCACACATATCTGATCCCAAAGTAATATAAGCAAAGTGCAATATATTTGTATCGTGTTTTCTAATACATTTATTTTTTCTAATTTCAACAGTGTGCTCAATTTCTGAAATATCTACTGTAATATAAAACCAAAGCTTTCTGAACAAGCTGAGCAGAATTTATATTTAGCTCGAGATTGGCTCAAATGAATCTGTTACATCAAAATTACTAATCACGTTTCAATGAATTTTATATAAAAATTCGTAGTAACACAAATTTTATAATTTATTGAAACAAGATTTGTTGGAGTGAAAGGTTTGACTGTAAAAATTGATTGAGCTAAAGTTCCTATTTGTAATAGTAATAGTAATGTAACTCAATTGATCGTTTTATTGGTTTTATTTACTTTTTATTCGAATTCTTTGTTTTATTTAAGTTGTTCAAATTATTATTATTCATTTATTAAAATTATTATTATTCATCTTATTCATTTTATTTGAATAGAAACTCTAAGTTGAGCAGACTTGAGTTAATACTTGAAATTTCAAGTTCGAGCCGAATTCAAGAAAACAGGCTCTTAAAATTGTTTGCAATAATGACGAAATTCCAGCTAAAGTAACAAAGCATCAAGTTAACATTGAAAGCTTTCCTTTATCACAATTATTATTCTGTTTTAATTTCTGTTTTAAGTATATACTACTGCTTTGATAGTGAAATCTAGAATAAAATAATTGATATTTTAATAATAGTCACAAATTATTATTCTCAAATATTACTAATAATCAATTAATACAAATATTGATTACAATGGGAATTGATATAAACGTGGACAATTAATTGTAGAATGAATATAGGCTTCAAAAACAATGTAGCTCAAGCAGGTCAATTTTTAATAATTTATTTTAAGATCAACATAATCATAATCTATTGAACATTTTATAGGACCTGGAAAGCTTCCAATAAAAGCCATCTTTTTCTGGTTCAAGGTCATAGTAAATTTTCAAAAAAATAATATATAATGAATCTGTTGTATTGTTTACCCAGGGTCATAGTTTTATGGCATTTTATTCTTTTAACTTTCTGTACCTTCTAGGTCCTTGATCAGATTTTTTCAATACTTTTTTTGAAAACTCTTTCTTGGTAAATTTCATAGGCAATTATTTCTGTATCTAATATCCTTGAATAGTTTGGTATCATTTATCTTGAAAACAATAAGGAGCAATCTTTTCCTTTTTCAAAATGCTTCTGATAGTGCTATAATTTTTGTATTCTGTGGTGGATCTGATGTAAATTAGTTTCGTATTAATTATTTTTATATATAGGAGTAGTTCTATGTGATAGTTGTTTTTGAGGAAAAGTGATTATAGTAATAATTACAGATTCTCAAGATGAATGAACATAAAATAATTATAAAGAGTTCAAATAATTATGGAAATGATTTTGGAACTATTAAAGTTAATTATGGCATTACAGATATAGCAATAACCATACTACAATTTTATATAAAACCAATGAATGTATCACATTAGTACAGACATCAAGTGACACAAGGGAGGTGGCAAATTTTGAGTATATTAATATCAATGTACAGTCAAGCCTTGTTTCAACGAATTATAATTAAATATGTATTTCAACAAATTTGAAATGAAATTTTCTTATATGTCCAGCCACTTTGTTGAAATGAGTTTTGACTGTATATGGAGAGATAGTCAATTAATTAACAATCGGTCAGCTTCAAAATACTAAAACAAAAAAAATTTATATCATTTTAAAAAAGTTAACCGATAGGTTTATTATTCATGACTCAAGCTTCAAAACCTGTCAACTAGTTTTTCCTTAAACTAAAATTGGCTGTGCCTTAGCTATATTGATTTTATTTGCATTACAATCAAAAAATTTAACGAACATATGGGGCATGGAGAATAGAAAGGAGTCAACGTCGAAATCACGATCTGCATTTTTATACCTTTTACGAAATTTTATTAAGCGGGTATGGTTACTAAACTAAAATCCATTGTTAATTGTTACGATGAATTGCATATAAAAATGTTGTTAATTCAAAATCATGATCTTTGTAATTATCATTGTTTCTGTTGCCGATGTCTTGTTTGCTATTTTTTAAAAAAACTTTAATAATAGAAGACTTTATCAAGTAAAATGAGCATAGTTTCTAAGCTAAACTTGTTCCTTGTGATAAGTTACGTATATCTCTGGTGTCAATTCAAAATCATGATTTTTGACGTTAACCCCCTTCTATTGTCTATGCTCCATATTAGGACCGGAAAATTCTATTATATTTGACCATCAAATTAAATGAAAAACTGTATTAATGCGAATCTTAGTTTTTTATGTGAATCGGATTTTCCGAACACATTTTAATTTAAAAAATTAATAATGCGAACAAAGAAATAGCCAAGGACATATAAAATTTATCTTTATCAATTAAAAAATTTAAAATCGGCATACTAAAATAAATTAAATGTTTCATCACCTACTGCGATTACTATTAGAGTAAAATGTATTCCCGAAAAACAAATTACTTCTAGTGGTTTAATATGAATTGTAATGTCACTTTCTACCAAGTTTTGCATGAAAAATAACATTGTGATAGTGGAAGACAAACCTTAATAGAAATGTATGGTAAATGATCTAATGATACCTGACGAAATGTTTTTGTAGACGGGAAATTATTTCGTCACATTTGGCGAGATGGTAAAATGTGGCAATTGACGAAATGTGACGAAAAGAGGAAAATGTGACGAAAAGTAGGAAAAGGAGATATTATAAAAAAAATTTTTTTAACAATATTTTTCTTTTAAATTTAAAATTTATTAATAATCAAAACTAATCAATTTAAGAATTTTCTGATAATAATTATGATCCAAAAGATTTATTAAAAGATATCTTTGTTGAAGATGAATTTGAAAGTGAACATAATTCAGAAAATAGTTATTTTCATGATTATTGTGAAGTTATAGAAATAATTATTTAGAACAAGAATGTTATGATATTGACATTAATAACAGTCTTACAAGTAATGAAATGGAAATAATACAAATGAATAAGAAGATGATAATTCTCAAAAAATTAGAAAAAAATGCAAACGTAATTTACGTAGCTCATCCAAATTTGACTAGACAAAGGAGTAATTAATTGACGATCCGTCTATGAATCCTCAGATAAATAATTTTTGTAAATTGAATGCAAAAATCATATCATTTAATAAAGATCATTTAATACCCCGTATTTATTATCTCTTAAACGGTCAAAGTATTTAATGGTAACACGAAATAATTTTTTGATCACGATCTTGCATTCTTATTGGCCAATTTAACGATCTACAAAGTAATTGACCAACTTTAAGGAAGATTTTACGAATTTTATTCGCAGATCAATCAGCTGAATTTCAAAGATCATTCTCGTATTAGGAAGTAATCCCTTCAGAAAATTCTTTAGTAATAGCCGAAAAACCGTTTAAGGGATAATAAAAAGATCGACATCACTCTGATTCATAGACGGATCATCAATTAATTTTCTCTTAAAATGTAAAATATTAAAAATTTAATGCAGATTATTACTTGTGAAAATGGTTATCTTTTTTTCGTCAACTTTTCCCTCTTTTTCCTTTCCGTCAATATGTTCTTTGCGATAAATTACATTTCATCAGTTGACTAAATGTCGATCCTTTCGTTAAAATGTTCTAATAATCATTTATTAATTGAAATATTATGTGATCCATATGTTGGATTTTGTCTCGAATTTCTTTTCATAGATTTTTTTTAGAGTTATGATTAATAATCTTCGTGTTACAATACTTTGAATTACATAACAATGATTTTCTTTAGATGTAATATGAGAGGAGGACCGTGAAAACTCTATTGAATGTGACCGCCAACACTATGATTCGAAAATACTTTTTTTTTAAAAAAAGTGACCGCCTTGCCATAAATTCTCATTAATGGAAAATGGAAAAGGTCGCACCGCGCCTTTATTATTACATAATTCAAAGAAAAATGTCTAATTCCCGAATATAATGGTAGAGAAATGAAAAACGTCACCGGTTTACACTATAATTCGCATGTAAAAAATTTCACGCCAACTACATGACTTTCGATATTTCTGATATTCACCCACTTTGCAAGAATGGATTTTTATTTGTGTATTCTAATAAAATATTGTGTTTGGGTAATCGCACTTTATGCGAAATGTGGGGAACGACATGCATGGGTAGAAAAGCCAGCGTGTATCCGCATTGTATAATCGGTCTTTTCTACTTATCGTGTTTGGGTATTCCAAAGTTTCCATCTGGAATTTGTAATGTTTCATAGTCAGACACACAATAAACCAGTTATTGAATGCAGGGACTAAAAAATCGAGAATGGTTGTTACTATTTTAAATTCGGCAACCATTCTGATTTTTCCACTATCACATGTACAGTCAACCCCCTATAAGTGCAGCCCCTTGGGAATGAGTGATAACGTGCACTTAGAGGGGGTGTGCACTTAGAGAAACAAAACATTTCATTGGTTGCACGTGGCTCCAATAAAGAATAAAAATTTATTAATTAATTATAACATTATTATCACTAAAAAAAATTTTTATATAATTATTGATTAAGATTCTATTGTAGTTTGCCTCATTGTATTTATTGTTTTCAAACTAATATATCTATCAAGAGAATTGACCGTTTTATTTGTTGACTGGAATAAACAAAATTCATATTTTTGAGAATTAGATAAAGTTCCTCTTTTTGGAGACATTTTATTTAGAAGCAATAAAAGAATAAAATATTTAATGAGATGAGTGTGAGTGCAAAAATTAGATGATTGGGTATGTAAGAGTATATATTATTTTTAATTTATTAATGATAAGGTTAATTTATAATAGAAGTTTATTTTTAAAGTTGGTTACAAGTGTTTAGTTATTAAATAAAATTCTTGATTCATGTCTTATTTATAATAATTTCAACTATTTAAGCTTCTTTGTCTGCATTCTTGTACTTTTGTTTTTTATCTATTAAAAAGAAAGAATTTTTTATTTCCCTGTCACTTAATAAAAATGAACAATTCTCTATCCGCCTCTTGCAAAATATTAATTCTTTACCTTTTACTAATAATAAATTTAATTCTTTATATTTTTTATTATTATTTACTAAGTATAAAATTTAATTCTTTATCAAAAATCAATTCTTTAAAGAAAAAGTATTTTAATTTAATAACGTCGCACGATTTTTATTGGACAACTATCACGTGAAAGTCACGGGAGTGCACTTAGAAAGTGAGTTTTATATAGATGGGGAATGAAAGCGTGCACTTAGAGGGGGTGCACTTGAGTATTTAAGAAAATCATTGTGACACAATAAAATTTAGTGAAGATATCACGTGAAAGTGTTTACCAATGAAATTAGTACATAGAAATTTATTTTACTATATATACTCAAAGTTTTACAAAAATAGTGAAATTTTTAAATTCTTGTAATTTTTGCTAGAAAGTTATGATAAAAATCTGGCTGCGCTACAACCAGGACCCGAATTATGAGGTAATACCCAAAATCTTATTGGACGATTGGGGACGTCACTGATATAAACGGACTAATTCATCGACAGCATCGTCGCGGCGTTCATCAACCACCTCAATTATTATAATCCGGGGACCTGGCACAATGGTGTTAAACAATATTGAACGGATATGTATGGGTTGAAGAAAACATTCATTAAGTGCCGATCGTCCGCATGACAATTCGTGGGGTGACGGAGATTTTTTTCCTTAGAAAAAAAAATTACCATTTGTCATTTATTCAATTATAATTTAATTCATTGTTAACGAATATAATTGTTGAATTAAGCAATACTAAAATTCATTTGTATTATTGGTTCCGAAAGAAAGACAGTTTCTTTTATTATTATGTATGAGATTTTAAATCAACTGATTTTTCTAATACATGTGAACTATTAAATTGTTAGAGAAATTTATATTGGTTACACCGGTTTATTACTTTCATTGCTGCCAATCATGATTATAATTATGTTAGCAAAGAAAATTCTAGATTACCACATGTATCAAACGATAAATTAACAAGCCTAAATTATTATATGAATGTAATTATGTCGGAATTAATAATTACTATTTGGTAGGAATTATTAATTATTGAGTGAATAAAAAAAATTTGACAGAATTTATTGGTTCAATTTGATATTTAAAGTGGCGTTTTTAAAATGACGAAGTTATGATGATGTTTGTTTAGATGTTGATGTTTTATCAACAACATCATCAAAAAAAAATAATACCATCATCTTTTCATATAAAACTCTCCCCCTACTATTATGCTTAATCTCCTTATATAGTTAAAAAAAGAGAAATCTTTGTTTGTTTATATTTATTCATTGTAGAAAAGTCACTGTGCGCTAAGAAAAGTTTGAGATTACATTTTTACTCTCGCACAAAAAAAATACGCAAAAAAAAATACACTAAAAAAATTCTTTTTTCTCTTGTAAATCATTTTAGAATCAAAACCTGATTCTATTGTTCCCTTAACTTTATCACTTATAAATAATATATGGTGCAATCAAAATAATTGCTATTTATATATTAATTATCTTTTCTATATGATGTATAGTTCCAAATATATTTTACTATCTCTATTTTATAAAATAAATACTTATTATTTGTTTGATTGTTTTGTAAGGAAATTTTTTTTTAAATATAAATGATTTTTTTCCACAAAATCACAACTTTTTTTTCATTAATCGTTTTTTTTTCACATAAAAAAAATATTGTCTATATATATAAATAATAATTCTAATATTATAAATAAATAAGAAGAAATTTGTTTTTTTTTTTTTTTATTTTTGAAAAATAAAAATAAAAAAAAAGTACCATTTCATCCCCCCCACATTTTAACATTAATATATAAATAATAAAAATTTATTCCCTTTCAATTTATTTTTTCAAATAAAAAAATTAATATTTTAACGTAATATTTCGTTTTTTATTTTTATTATTATTATTTTTCAAAAAAATAATTAAAAATAAAATAACGAAAGTATTTTCCTTTTGAAAATTAATTTTGTAATATAATTGTACATATAATATATTAAAACAATTTATATTATTAATATATATAATATTAATACTTATTAATAATTAAATTTCTATAAAAAAAAAAAAAACTAATATAAAAAAATCAAACTAATTATGACTATAATTAAAAATTCATTATAAAATAATCTCTCTCTTCCTTTTAATTTATTTTTATTCAAACAAACCTAAAACTCACAAACCAAATAATATTTAAAACAAACCTCAACCTCAAAAACTCCATATCATTTTCTAATTTCTTTAAAAAACTAAATTTCCATCCACAACCAAATTCATCACCATGATAGAAGATCATTATAACCCATGCGAACGTATCAATCAGTTTATTGATGATGGTCAATTAGAAATAACGGATATTCTTGGCATAGGTGCTTATGGAATTGTTTACGCTGCAAAACATGTTACAACCGGAAAATCTTACGCAGTCAAATGCATAATTAAAGCAAATCTTGATGCAAGACAACAAAAATTTCAATATACCGAAATCAATTTGCACGCAAAATTATCTGGACATCCTAATATTATTAGATTGGAAAAAGTGATCGAGTCTGATGAAATGATTGACATTATACTTGAATATTGTAATGAAGGCGATTTGTTCTCGATAATAACAGAGAAAGGCGGTTACATAGGAAATGATTATTTGATAAAGTCAGTTTTCATTCAAATACTTGATGCCGTGCTATTCAGTCATCGTCATGGTATTTATCATAGAGATCTTAAACCGGAAAATATACTCGTGTTTGATCAAGGAAAAACTATCAAGTTGGCAGATTTTGGTTTGGCTACCACCGAACTTTGTTCGAATGATTTCGGATGTGGTTCTACATTTTACATGAGTCCAGAGTGTCAAGGTGGATTTTATAAGAAATTACAAATTTATGAAACCGCACCAAATGATGTTTGGTCACTAGGAATCATTCTAATTAATTTGACATGTGGTCGCAATCCATGGAAACAAGCTAGTATACACGACGAAACATTTGCTGCTTTTATTAAAAATAAAGATTTCCTCAAGAAAATATTCCCGATTACCGACGAGCTCAACAGCATTTTACTGGACATTTTTGCTTTGGATCCAAAAAACCGAATTTCACTGTGTGAACTTCGTGATCGAATACTAAATTGTACCAGTTTTACTGTTACCAATAATAAATATCATGATGATGAGATCAATAAAGCAATTCAAGAGTTTGAAGATGAAGAAGAAGAAGAACTGGAAGAAGAATATAATAAAGGAGGAGATGAGGAACTTAATATTGTGAGATCTAGTAGTGATGATGGTTATTATAACGAGGAGGAAGAAGATAACGGCAATGATAGTGATAATATGACATTACCAATATCTTCAAATTCATCAGATACTGCTTATTCTTGCTATTCATTTAGACAAATATCAAAGAAATCTTCATTTATTACATCATCTGAACCTAATGACAATGCCAATAACTACAACGACAATGATTATTACTATAACAATGATGATTACAACAACGATGATAATGAACACGATTTTGATGACGACGACTGTGATGATGATTATGATCGATGTTCTGTCTCGACTGGTTCGTTTTCATCTTTATCAACACTAGCAAACAGTAATCATAGCTTAGATAAATTACACAACAATATTAAAAACAATATCAAGATATCATTATTTAGTTTAACATCATATACTAGTGATACCGAAATATAATTGATTAATCGTGAATTTTTTTTCTAAATTAATTTTTAATTTTTATTTTCTTTATTTAGGAAAGTTTAAATTTATTGTTTGAAAAAAAACACCAATTAATAAAAATGATAGATTAGAAAGAGAATATTAATAAATAATAAATAATAAATAATAATAATAGTAATAATAATAGATTTATAAACGTTATTGTTATTATATTATCATAATGTAATTATTTAATCGCTATTGTTTTTCTCGCTGGTGTTCTCCGGTTTCGACGACTTCAACCAAATCTCCAACTTTGATGATTATATCTAAATTAGAAAGAATAATAATAAATTAATTTTTAGAAAAAAAAAAAATATTTAAAATAAAATCAAAAAATTTTAAAATATTATTAATGATAATTAATATTATTAATTTATACATTATATTTGCTAAATCTATTTTTTTACCTGTTTCACTATGAATTGCGTTCATTCCTATAAATTATTGAATATTTTAAAAAAAAACTTTTCCCCATTTATATTATTAATTTATTATATTAATTGCCTACCAAAACAAGCATGATATTTTGCACCTTTATCGACTCTTCTATACGATTGTAAAGTTTTCAACGGTTCTAAAGCATTACGTTCCCCTGTATCGAAATTTACATTAGGAACTATCATTATATATAAATAGATAAATGAATTAATAAATAAGTACATATATATATATTGTTTGGTATATTAACATTATAAACAATCAAGATAAATCAAGTAATATATATTGTTTGGTATTAACATTATAAACAATCAAGATAAATCAAGTAATATATATTATACACACTCGTACAACGGGTACATCTGCTAATAATAAAAAATAAATGCCCTCCAATCAATATCTTCTTCCAAGTATCTTCTTCATAAGCCTTTTGACTCCCTTTTACAACAATGTTTGGTCTGAAATTTCTTGTTTCAACAGGGTTCACCAAGCGACTATTAAGATCTGACAATGATTCTTGTGTAATGATCAGAAACGGAGTTGCATCTGAAAAAGAAACCTGTTAATAAATAATTAAAATAATTAAATGGATTAATCAATTAATCATTATTAGGAAATAATTTATGTTTGTTTGTTTGTTTATTTGTTTATTTGTTTATTTATTTATTTGTTTGTGCGTGTGTTTTAATATAATGAATTACCATAATTGCGCATTGATAAAGTCAGAAAAGCATCAGGATAAATGATTGATTACCTCAAGATTATGATAAATTTTTACAAATTCATCTTTTGGCGGAAGATTTCTCCTAATAGTTCTAATTTCATCAGGGTCTTTAAAACAAATTTTGGCTTTTATACCATCAACACCTTCGCTAACTAAAAAGCCATTAATCCAAAGATTTGCTTCTTCTCCGCAATCATATGCAGCAACATTATCATTGCAAACAACATTATATACAAAAATTGCCAATGTTTTCTTGAAAAGAGGAAAGAAAAATTCACAAAAGAAAATACAGAAAATACAAATTCGAGAGAGGATTATGAGCTAAACATTAATCATCAAGTAGAAAATGTATAAAAAATTCATGCAAAAGTGGCTCTCTATATAATATTATTGAGCTCCCTTTTTTGTATTTAAATCCTGTATGTACTATTAAAAATCATTTATAATAATAATTATAGTTATAGTAATAATGCAGTGTGAAAGAGAAAGAAGTAAATTTGGTCTGGGACAACTTATAACCTAAATGGCCTAAATGGCGTGTAACAGAAAATTAAATAATCAGCTAAATTAAGAAATTCATTTGGACAACCAAGGATTCTAGATTAAATTCTTGAAATTATTAATATGTATTAATATCTATCGTTAAAGGGAAATATTAATGACTCAGTATTAAATGTGACCTTTTCTTTTGCTTCAATTTCCAAATTAATAATAACAGCGAAAAACATATAATTTGAAAATAATGCACAAAGCATTTTAAGCAGTAGTAGTTTATCAGTTTACTTACATGTTTAGAAACTGGATTAAAATTTATCTCCTCGCTCGTCTTTGAATAAATTTCTCACCAATACACGTGATGAAAAACAAATACCAATAATTACTATTATTCTGCTTTGACTATATATATATATATATCTACTAGAAATCCTACTGCCAGAGCAGAATTGCGAAGGCCACAAATGACGAGATGTCAAGTGAATGGGAAGCCTGGCGGTTTGCTACTAATAATGATTTATATAATCCCAATTTCCCTGATTGATTGATAACAAATTTACTATGCATATAAAAAATATAATAAATAATTCTGATTATGATGTATGTCAACATCAAAAAAGCTAGATATCACTTCAACTCGAGCTCCCATTCTAACTTTTTATACTCTTCAAATTCTTTTTTTTTTTTTTTTTTTTTTTG